TGGAGAGAGCAAGTCGCGAAAGTGCTGGGAATCAAATTATAATGACGATGAAAATTAAGTTACGTTGGGGCTTTTGTTTAGAAACGTGGAGAGGGTGGCTGCGGTTCAGCCCACCCCTAGGTCTTGCCTCCTGTGTCATGGAAGGGTGCGGGTGGAGCAACCTCCACTGCCTGCCACGTTAACCACACCCTCTACGCCCCTGGTATTTCTTCCCGTTTTTGTCTTTCCCACTTTCCTACTTTAAGCTCTCTTCAAGAAACAGGTGGACTTCTTCTACAAATCTGGCTGTCGCCTGATGAAGCTAGTTGTAATTACTGGCGAAACGTCGTACTCAGATTGTAAATGTTGTCGCTCGGCTCTCCAACACACCGGTGTGCTGTACTAGTGATGAATTGGCCACGTTCTGTTTACGTGACAACCCCTACTAGTTGGCTGTGTCCGGTGGTGGCGGGTTTTTACGACACATTTATATATTTATGCGATCTAACCCAAAAAAAACCCTCTTATGGATGATATTGGTCAATAAAGTTTGCATTGGAAGAAGGGCAAACAAAGCCACGTATGCCACCAACCCCTCCCCCAACGTGTCACGCCAACTCCAGAGATAGGGTGCATTCTTTACAGCATAAAAAAAATTCCAAAACAAATCTTTGCGTAAACAAAGAAAAACCCCTGCCGAGTGTAACACCGGCGATAAAACTGATTTCAGTGAACAGGGGAGCTTTGGGTCTTGGTTTGGCTTATTTCTTTAATTATATCGTTGGGGTTGTTTATTGTCGTTTTAATCTCAGGAAACTGGTTGAGAGAACTGACCCCAGGCACGCGTCATTGCCTCTTCCATTCTTCTGGTCATGTGCCGCTGCTGCTGCCGCTGCTGCGAAGCACGCGACGCGCCACACGGACTCGCCACAGGGCCGTGCCCACGGGTGGATTGACAGCGCACCGTTGCTGGATGGATGCGACGCCGATTTTGATCTCGGCCCGATGATTATGACCGCAGGTGATGAGGATGATGAATTCGCGGAACTAGGAAGAATATAGTCGTTTTGAGTGGATTAATTGATGAAAAAAAATTGTTTTTTTGTAATGTTGCCATTTACCTTGCCCCCCCCCCCCCTTTAAAAAAAAAATCACGGCCTAACCCACATTGTGCCTCGTTGAAGGTGGAGAAAACCCCCCCCCCCGACCAAGCCAGAATACACGTGACAGCGTGAGGCTGGGTGCCGCGGTGGCGATATGTTGACTACCTCGCCTGGTGTACAGGAGGGCCGTGGGTTCGATCCCGACCCTGACGCCTGCTGCTGTATGTTTGGAGTTTGCGTGTCTCTCTCCCTGTGGTCGCTTTGGATTTTTCTCCGGATCCTCCGGTTTTTCTCGACACATTTAGAAACGTTCGTTTAGAGTACTTTGGCTGCTATCAATTTCCACATGATAAGCCACTTCGTTGGGTTAGCATTTGTGGACAGGTAGCGTCTTAAAAAAGTACGATATAATTGAGTGGGCCTTACCTGGTGAAATAGTTTTTAGTTTACCTCCCACAAAATGGGACTTTTTTTTGCCAGTATAAAAGTATGAAAAAATAAGAATAGGTTTTAATCTTTCTGGCAATAAAACAGGTGTTAAGATGATCGAACATTCAATATAAAATTTCGCAAGGAATCGAGTGTGCATTAACCACACACGGTACTTGTGGTGAACATCCAAACAAACTGATTGGTCTACACCAGAGACAGCCTTCTTTCGGGCCAAAATGCGTTTTGGCAGTCTCTGGTGTACGCCAATCAGTTTCAAAGACAATGCATCTATAATGATCAGATCATATAGGAATAGGTTTTATCCTTTTAACTGGCACAAAAACTGACACTTTTATTCAAGGCATCATGTTTGCAATAACCACAACACAAGCAGTCAAAATGCAAACAAAAAAGACAACTCTGATAATAATAATATACACTATCCTTGAATTTGATTGGTCCACACCCGAGACGGCTTTTCTTAGAGCCTAGTCTCCACTGGTGTTGGACCAGAAGACGCCAACAGGCGTACAACTCAAAAACAACTCAAAAACAGCGTGCTGTTTTTGAGTTGTACGCGATTTCCCCAAATGCGGGAAACTCGACTGTATAATTTGTGGTACTGGGGGACTGCGTTCGCGCTATCCCCCGAAATGTAAATAAAAAGGTTTATTTACTATGAGTCGTGGAGCATTTGTTACGGGGTTCAGTGTGCATAAATAAACAACTAGTTATACAGGTTCTTTTGGGTTTGATCGCGTAGATATGTCGTTATTATGAATGATATAGATCGCGAAAGCCGACGACGTGTTAAACGGAGTTGGGGAAGTGGAGAAGAAGTGTGTGAATTGTGGCGCAGGTTAAATTCATCTGCGACCGAGGCATTTTGTATCTGATGTTGCAGAGAGGGCGTGGGCAGGAAGGTCTCGGAGAAGAGAATTGCCAGTCGTCGAGCTGAGCTGAAACACGAGGGAGGTGAACCGGGAGTTGAGCGGCAGAGAGTGAGATGAGGGGGACGGATTTTGCGAATGTTGAATCGGTGAAAGCGGCGAGTGTGGGTCGTGGCAGAGATGTGGTTGAAGAGGGAGGAGTTGAAGATGACCCCGAAGCTGCGAGCAGAGGAGACAGCAGGAGCGAGGGAGAAGACGGGGGAACGAGATGGTAGAACAGGGTGGAGGAGGGCACGGAGATTCATAATAACCTCTCTTTTTCAAGCGTCTTTCATATTGAAATATTTCAAAGCGCTGTACATGAACATAAAACTACAGTATTTCCTCCTTATTCGCGAAGGAGACTTTCCGGAGATGCTCGTGAATTGTCTAGATTGAAAACTCATTTCTTTAGAACTGCTTTTTGTGTTCAGTTTGTTATCATTCCCTCGCACCTCCGATTAGCACGGTTGGCTATGTACGGTGCGAAAGAAGTCCAACATACATATACGAATAGCAAATTTCACGAAAAGTGATATTAACCTATGAATAGGTCTTTTTCAGAAGCGATCTGGCAATAAATTATAGCTCAACAAAGTGGAAAATCACGTGGAAATTTATATCAGCCCAATACTCTTAATGTATGTTTCTAAATGATGATACTTTTTAAAAAGGACGATTATTATCCAAGATGATGATTAAGATTATGACAAATGATTACTTCAATTTGTCGGTGACCTGGACGACCCAATGGTATGATTGTGCTTGCTGATTGCTACAAAGTTCGTGGTTTGAGGCCTAGTGGCTGCACTGATTAATACTGCGGGTTTATTAACCGTAAATAAAAGTGCAGTTTGCTTCACGGTGGACGTGAATGATCCCGTGATGTTATTCGGAGCAGAGTAGGCCATTGTGCGCTGGAATCATGGTCCACATTTTAAGAATTACAAATAAAAAAGGGACTGCAGACTATACTCCTTTGTGATGGCATTGCAATATAAGAATGGCATGAATACCAAACGTATTAATGTTGTGTTTTGATGACATGATCTTGGATGATTATTTGGGTCATGGATGATGGTGATGATGGCAATCATGACGTGTTTGCGGTGTTATCATCTTACACGACAGACTATAGCCAATCACGGTTGTGACGCTCAGCAGCATGAGCATGTAGATGTAACCCGAGCTAAACAACGGTGCTCTTCAACTGCAACTTCAGTAAACACGTTCAGTGTCCTTACAGAGACGATCCGATGTAGGGTTCAGACAGGAGGAACCTCATAATTGATTGATCAAACAAGACACGTAACCTATCCGCCCGCGGTAAGTCATGGTGAAATATAAATGGCAAGAGAAGTGATGCAAATTATCTGAACCATAAAATCCCAAAAGCTCAAAGAACCAACCCTGACCCATGACGCGAGAGGGCAAAGAATGGGCGCGTGCACGATGAGTCAAATGTGAAACTAAATTATCGCCAATGATGTGCGTCATGTTCCTGAGCTATCGAAATGTCACAGAGTAAATTAACTGTGACATGTGAATAGTTTGGGCGGCGGTGGCGCATATTGTAAAATGCAAGCAAGGAGGTCATACGTACCCTCCCCTGACACTTATTATATGTGAAATAAACACGTGTTTTCCATCACTTATGGTTTTCATTCATAATTACATTTATCTACAAAATTCCTCTGAATCGGAATCTCTTCATCCTGGAGTAATCCCACGAGCTGTGAAGCTCTTTTTGTCCACAGATGCCGAGCAGGGGCGCGTCAGAAATTTTGAACAACAGGATGGTTCCTACATAGGGACATTATGCCCAATGCCATATGAATAATAATGTAATTTATTTATCGAGGAAATCTTTCCCGAGTCTCAAGGTTGGACTTGATTATTTGAAAGCAAACGAATGCAAAGTCAGACACATTGACGAAAACACGTATCTCCCCAAGTGGTGTTAGCGCACACACCTATTAATAACAGGCACGGCGCACGAATCCTCGGCCGCCTTTGTTTCCTCAGTACTGATGCTACACACTGAACCCAGATACAGTACTCATTTAAGGCTGAGTCGTTACTGATGTTGACCATGACTGGGAATCAGACTGGAGATGCTGGGCTCGTAACACACTACGCTAACCACTGCGCCACCACTCCCCCCCCCTCCCGCAACTGACACATGCATACAGACACAAACACGCCCTGACCTAGGCATTGACACACACGCACCAAAAATAATAACTTTATACCGGCGGCACACGAATTGGTCAAGTGGCCAATACCACCCCTGGCCCCCTTTGTTTCCCTAGCGGCGAAGTTTGCACACCGCAACTAGGTACTCATTTGAGGCTAAGTCAACGTAGGGGAGGCCCCGGACCGGTTCAGATAATCGTCACGGGTGTTTGCCGCGAGCGAGAATCGAACTCGGTTCGCCGGGTTCGTAGCGCAGCGCGCCAACCGCTGCACCACCGCTCCCGAGTGTGTACCAGACTAGGTGCACACTGAGGCGCACACACGCATACGCCACACACACACGCGCCACACACACACGTACGTGATGCTGTTCTGGTGCAGGGAGTCCAAAGCGCTGTCGCCCTCCTCTGCGCTCGCCTTCTTGTCCATGTTACGGAACATGTCCCTGGCTGAGAGATTCTTCGTCGCCCCCTGGCGGCCGCGGTCCAGCTTGCCAGCCACGCGCAGAGCGCCGCTCGCCTCGCTCGTGAGCAGCACCGGGTAGCAGTCGTGACCCTTCGGGAGGCAGGGGTCAAATCGCGCCGAAAAGGGAGAAAAGTCGCGCACACGCGTGGATCGCGTAACGCTTCGAGTGGTGCACCACTGCGAACAGTCTGTGCCTGAGTCTACTCTATCCTTGAGCTGTGGCAAAATTATGGTCAGGAGCTCAACGCCGAGGTCTGCCAGCCACGGCGAGAGGGCTTCAAGAGGGCTCGCGTATTTCAGCTATTCCTCCGGCGTTGATGGAGCGCAGATGACAATGAATATTCCGCTACGATATTGACATTTACAGTACTACGTGTTGTAGAAAAAAAAACCCTTTACAATAAAATCGAGATATAATTCAATGTGGTCCGTTTTCTTCGTGGTAAGTCGCGAATAGCATCACGACGTTATACTGAAGTTTCGTTCATATTGGATCATCTTTACTCGGGTTATCGTGACCTCGTTTACAGACCGATGAACGGAGGTGATGCATAGACGCTGTCAATCTTAGTTGGGGGTAAAAATCAAAAATGTCTGACTCCAGCAGTCTGGGAATTGGCATCTGTGTTCGGATGGCAGGAATTAATTTGTGCCGACATCTGCTGATATTGTGTTGAACTCTATGGCAGCAATTACTGCACAGTTTTGATATTAGACCGAGTAATATCTGATAAATGTGTCCGGTGTTGGCCTGTGACTCACCGCAGCCACCAGACTGTTGTCCGAGATAAAAGTGATGGTGAGGAGTGGAAGGAAGTCCGTCTTCAGCACGCCCACCCTGCCAAGACAAAAGAACCCCCGTTTAGCCACGAAGGCTCTTATGTTAGCGAGCACCTATTGCAGTCACCATGGCACACGACAGAGTGGTATGGACAACACCATGTCCGATTTCCTCTGTGCGCCTTGTGCTGAAGACGTATTTCACTGGATACAAAGTTCAGGATAAATTGACCTTGGTGAGGTCCAGGATAGGTTCATATATCAATTGCCATTGATCGTATCGCACCAGGTATGCGTCAGATTCTCGGAAGAAAAGCTGGGTTGAGCCTGGATGCTGCTTGGATATACAGCAGGCGTTGTAGGCTGCGCGCTAACGTGGTGGTCAGCAGAGGCCAGTCAAGTAGCACCAATTTATCTATGAGTCCCCCCCCCCCCACGTGTCCTCACGGCGCGTCCTTGTCGAGGCGCGGGTCCGCCAGGCACACGGTGCTGTCGTGAGCCACCCAGGCGAGACGATTGCCGTCCTGGGAGAAGCACAGGCCGTGGACCCAGCCCCCCGCCGAGTGCGAGCCCGTGAGCTCTGCCATGAGCTCCCCGAACGGCATTCGGGACCCCCACGGAGTGGGAGCGGGCTTCTCGTCCACCTCCTTCACGTACGCCGAGAACACCCTGTGGGCGCGCGCACGCACGGCACAGCGTCGAGTGGGAGCTCAGTTGAAGGACGACCACACAAACACAGAGAGAGAGAGACACCGTTGTTTTTAGACCAGCGGTGCCCAATACGTGAATCGCAACCCACGGGTGGGTAGCAAAAGATGTTGGTCGTGCATCTCAGGACAAAGCAGAAGACACGCCGGCGACATTGGCACGTAACAGCATTTTCGTTACGGCCGATGGTAAATATTGTTCTCTCGTATGGCCGATGGTAAATAGTGTTCTCTCGTATGGCCGATGGTAAATATTGTTCTCTCGTATGGCCGATGTAGACGCAGATCAACAAGTGTAATTTCTCTTTGGTTCTTTCGGTAAAGTCACGTAGAAAGAAAAATAAATTAAATAATAGCATACGACGTTTCGATTTCAACACAAGCAATCATCATCAGGCTCTAATGAATGAGAAAACAAACCTAGTAAACTTAGCAATATAATGCAATACAACACAGAGAGTCGGATAACACAACAGTCAACACCCTACCTGGTTGATTAACGTTCTTCCAAAGATTGCTAAATTTGAGAGAGAGACAAAACACAGACACGGAGTCACACAGACAGACACACAAGCAGAGAGAGATAACACAGAGACACACAGAGAGAGAGACACACACACACATAGGCACACAGAGAAACAGCGCCTCTGTGTCGAGGCCTTAAATAGAGAGAGAGGGGGGCAGAGAGAGGGGGGGGGGGTAAAGAAATTAGCAAGTAGAAATTCACAATGAAGTGGTCGAGCCAGACAATCGTGCAGGAAGCAGCGCAGAGTATCGCCGTGATGTCTCCTTCATATTTGCGGGTCCGGCACGGCGTCGTTCCACGTTGTACGGTCTGTTCTGGATAACCACAGTCGCACACTGGAGAGTTTTTAAACTTTCCATTTGTGTATCCGTGCATGTCGTGGTTTGTGCGGATGCGATTTTGGATGGACCATGAGCTTACAATCCTCGTCTAAGAATGTATTAATTAAAGTAATAATTTCGAGCAATAGATGGCGCTAGCACTTCATGGTCACAGAATATTAGCGGGTTAAATCCGGCTAATCGTGGCGGTGGATCGCGGAAACCCCTTTGAGGCTTTCGGAATGCGTCGCGGTGCTCGGCGTAATTGGCCAGACGCTGCTTCAGTTTGACAACAACACGACACGGCACAACCGCCAGTAGCACTGGCCGCAAAGGAAACGTGTCGTTTTGACTTAAAACTTTGGCGACTGCAGGAATTCATATGCTTTGGTTCTTTCGGTAAAGTCACGTAGATAGAAAATAAAATACAAATAACAAAAATCATGATTTTTTTAACCAGAAACGTCGTGAGGTTTTTAAATATCTTTTTTTATAATTTTTTTTAATCTTCTATCTACGTGACTTTACCGAAAGTAACCTAAGAATATAAAAAAACCGCGTAGTTGTAGCTGAGCGACCGCGTCGAGCGAGTGGGGTCCTTCTACATTCCACATCGTTAAGATCAGGTGGGGGGGGGGGGCGTCAGAAACCTGCAGCTCTGGAGCCGCGTGCACCGCTCTCGAAGGCCCCGCTTCGTGACGTCGTTTACAAAGCACGACCGTCTCGTGTTCAGCACGTGCATTGCGGGCTCTTGAAATACTGAGTTTATTACGTGATTCGGAAAGAAAAAAAAATCTGCTCTTGTCATTTAGTGTTTAAATGGAGTGCTTTTTGCCAATATCATATGGCAAACCAGCAGCATTTGCTCTTTATTTAATTACGCCTGACTTCTGTTGAGAACCGGAGAGTCGAAGCCTGTCCAGAGTTTGTTTTCTTAGGCAAATCTTGCTAATGCTGGTCTGGAATTCTAATTGGCCCATGGACTACGGTACAAGCGATGTATTTTTTTTTTATATGTAGAGACACTGAACTTTGGGTTATATTTGCTTTAACCCATATTGCTTCACGGCAAACGCATAATCAACGTCTTTATTGGTTGCGTAATGTGTTCCAATATTCCTTCGTCTTCGGAGAGTATGTAATTAGCAGTGTGCATTGTGGGTCGTGGGTGGGTTATTTGACCGTGCTTCACCGCGCTGTTCAGTGCGGGTTGGTCAAACGAGGAGCAAAGAAGCGCAGAGCAACCGTGGTCTTTAGCTCATTGCCCTCTGCTGCCCACCACGTGGCCTAGCAATAGACCACACTAACCTGTTACACATACGGTGGAGGCCCATCCCAGCACGATGCAGGATAAAACCTGCTTAGCTTCCAAAATCTCATGAGATCGGGTGATATCCAGGTCATCTGGTTTCTCGGCTTTTGGCTAATGAAGGAGCATGGTCTAATGTCAGAGTGCAAAGAGCATAGCCCAGTGGCTTAATGTAGTTGGCATGGGCCCCGTACAAGAAGTGGCATCTCCAATATCGCTGCTGGGCCCGCCTGGTCCGTTGACCTCGGTGCAGTTAAAACAAGATCCACCGTATAGCCTTAACAGACTGTAGGGGCAAGTGCTGTTAGGGATCACCTATAACGAACGGCACGGCACACGAGGGGGTGGGTGGCCAACACCACGCCCGGCCGCCTTTGTCTCCCTAGTGGCGATGTTTCCACATCGCACCAGGTACTCATTAGAGGCTGAGTCGACCTAGAGGAGGCCCAGGACCGGTTCAGATAATCGTCACTGGTGATGGCCGTGAGCGGGAATCGAACCCAGGTCGAGAGGTTCGGAGCACAGCGCGCTAACCAACCACCCACACACACCACTTGATAGCTAAGCCAATGGCTGTGCCCAACAATGATGACACCTTGAGTAATGTGTCCTAGAAAGGCAATGATCTACCAGACTGACCGTTTTATCTAATCTACAATTCCACAGTGTTCAACTAACCACACTCAAGGTCACAACAACAACAACAACACACTCACCATCTGTTCTTCCCTCGCACTGCTCAACTTTCGAATTCCCTCCCTTCGTTTCAATTTCCCAAGCTGTCATAACCCATATTAACTCTCTACCTGTTTACATTTAAATAGTGCTGTAAGTTGATGGGCGCTTAGCATGTTTTTTGGGTCTGCGCTCCAGCAACTGTGATTAATAATATACTAGCAGGCTGGGACGTGGCACGTGACTAATAGCCACAACCCAAAAAAACGAGAAGTATACTGGACGTGGTGTGCCATATGAGAGAGAGAGTCGAGAGAGGGAGGGAGAGAAAATCGCCGCTGATGGGCTGCTGTCACACTCGGCCCACCTGCACTTGAAGTCGCAGGATCCAGCGGCAAGGAGGACGTTGTTGGGATGCCAGTCCAGGCTCAGCACGGTGGAGCTGATGGGCTTCTTGATGTGCTTGCTTACCCACCTGGGACAACAACAACAACCGCCATTCGCTACTAAGTGGCGGTGACGTCACCGCGGCGCTAGTGCCAGGCTAGGTGCACGTTGAGGCCACGCGCAGTGTCGAATGCCCGCTGGCAAGGTCGAATTACTGAAATGACTGGCCGATGCACCACCTGTGCCCTCTACTGTGCCAACTTGTTGCTATCGCCACCCGGTGCTCCGCTCGTTGTGTGTGAGTGGGACACACACACACACGCGCGCACAGACATAAATCGCCCGCATAGCCTCCATAGACTGTTGGGGAAAGTGGTGCTAACGAGCACTTATGAATGCGAGCAAAGTGATGGACTAGAAATGGAACGAACATGGAAAACACCAGGGGTGGAAATCGAGAGTTTGGTGGTTCCACGTGGTGAAGCGGGATGCGAAACACTCTGGCGTGGACGTGGGGATGGGTGGCTCCGGATAGGAACGAGCGGAGAAGCATGAGAGCAGGGTGCCAGACCCCGCGCGCGTGGGGCAAATGCCAGGAAGGATAATAATAATAAGAAAAAGATCACGTTACATGTGCGTCGCTATAGGGTGCGGTCGTTGTCTCGAGCGCGACGCGGATCGGTGCCTCTACAGCTCGCGTGGAGCAGAGGCGTCGTGAGCCGGAGACGGAGAGGCGGAGACGGAGAGGCGGACACGCAAAGCGTGCCGACCTCATGCCCGGCTCTCGCACTCGGCAGCCACTTTACCAGCGGACGCGAAAAAAAACAATACTTGGCGGCTACGATTGTTCGTGTGAATGCACGTGCTACTTACCAGCGTGTACACGCACGTGTACTATCTACTGCTGGATCGGGAACCTCGCCGCGCGCCATGCGAGTCGTGCACTATGTACGGTGCGAAAGAAGTTCAACATACTAAATGCAGACAATGTAACCTCACCGTGGTCTGCAATGCCTGTGGACTGTTCATTGTGGTCGTCTTTCCAAACACTATCCAGGCTCTGCCTGCTTAACTTCCGAGATCTGATGAAATCGGGTACATCCCAGGTGGTTTAGTCCAAGGCTTACTTTGTGATAGCTACATACAGGTCTCTTCAATTAAACGGCATGTTTAAACCTAGGGAAGTGCCTCACTGCATTGCATGGCATTTCAATGAGAGACAGAGAGGAAAACACGGATTAGAGAACACACGTAAGTTATTGCGATCGTCAGTAAGTGTGTTTGCGTAGGACACATCTGTACATGTAAGGGATGATGGAGTGTAGGCCAAGGAATTGAACGGGTCCGAGAGGGACGTATACTGAGGAGATGGAGCGATTAAATCAGATCGTGTGCGGGTGCTTGGGTGGATTATAGCATTGCAGGATCATAACCGGTGGCGGTGACTTAGGGAGGCCTTCATCCAACAGTGGATTGACCATGGCTGCTGTTTATTAATAATGATGCTTGTTTACTCAGGAAAGCCTCAGTGAGTCTCAACTCTTTTCCAATAGTGGGGCGATGCTGCGATGTGTAATCTTAAATGAGCAATTTTCAGAAAATTTTTCAGCAATGTGATGTTTGGCCAATACCAGTTAAATAATCTTTTTTTTCTGTTATCGATAGGAGGGAACCGATAAAACCAATGAAGAACAGGGTGAGAACAAACAGTGCAGACTCCACACAGGCACCTGAGACTGGAATTGAACACAGAAGTTGATGTCCGATGATGTTGGCAGGTGTGGCGGGGGGGGACAAGAGAATACGGGGGGAAGGAGATTTAATCCGCACCAATTGTTGTCCTTCTCGAAGTAGCACACGGACACGAGCCGAGCTCCGCTTCCCACGGCAAACTTGTCCTCTCGGGGCGACCAGCGCACGCACGTAGCGGCGCGGTTAAAACGCAGCAGCACGAGCGTCGGTCCCCAGCCGCTGGTGACCCCTGCTGCGGGTGCAGAGCCCTGTTGCTGCTGCTGCTGCTGCGCCCCGCGCCGCGTCCACACGTACGCGTTGCGGTCGGAGCCGCAGGTCACAATGCGGTCCGTGCCCGGTGCCCAGTCGATTCCTGCGGAGGATTCCGTCGTGGGAACTCTTGTTAGGGACGCGGGCTCCACAAAAGGGAGTTCTCCTCCTCTAGGGAGAGCCCCTCCTATTAAAATAAAATAAAATTCATCATCATTAGACCTCCTTTGCCAGTACCAAAATGTACAGTCTCGTCCCCTTCACCTGATGAAGGCCGCTTGTGTTGTGGCCGAAACGTCGTGAGAATATTATTGTGTTATTTTATTTTATCAATTTATTATTTTATTCTCATTCTACGTGACTTTACCGAAATAACCAAAGAAGATGAATAGGGTTTTTCCCCTTTTTTATCATAGTGTGTTTTTTTGTTTGCATTTTGACTGCAGGTATTGTGGTTAATGCAGACATGAATCCTCGTAAAAAGGTTTCAGTTTTGTTGCCAGAAAAAAAAGAGGAAAAACCCTATTATTAAAATAAAATTGCCAACTAATTCACGCTGGCCCGACGTTTTGGGAAGAATTATGGGTAACCCCACACACTTTATCTCACCGCATGCAACCTGCCCCGTCCACTGTGGTTGCACCCACTTATACTGCTGCGTGGACAGATGCACAGAGACACTTGAGAAACTTGCGCCCTTGTTTCAACTGCTGCGACCGGAGATTGAACCAGGTGACTTCTGGGATTGAAAGTCAAGTGTGCTGACCATTTTACATCACAACAGCAGCAGCAGCATCTTGAAAAGTGCGCAATCGGTAATAATCGCAGGAAGCGTAACGACCGTGGGGGCATTGGAGAGCGGCTCTGCCTGGGAGGGCGCGCCTCGTCCGGCAGGGTCAGGACGCCTCGGTTGACCCCCTTTTAGCGATGGTTGGCGTGTCGTTCTTTTAGCACTGGTTGGTGCGTCCAAGCTTTTGCATGACTCTCCTGCTGGTGTTGTATGTGGCAAGTCTTTAAATTCATGGCAATCTTTCGTTCACGTTTGATCACCTTCATGGGCGGTCGCCTTTGGGCCCGCCCCCCCCCCCCTTGTTTGAGACCGACGAAGGGGCGGACGAGGCCGAGTTGATTGCAATTCGTGTTTTTAAGCTCCGTTCCCGAAGCGTTACCAACGGAATTGGCCTCATCTGAACGATGTGGAATGCAGAAGGGTCCGCTTGCTCGACGCAGTCGCTCAGCTACTACTACACGTTTTTAAAAAAATTATTTGGTTCTTTGGGTAAAGTCACGTAGATAGAAAATGGAAAAAAAAACAAATAAAAAATATATTTAAAAAACTCACGACGTTTCGATCGCAACACAAGCAGTCGTTATCAGGTGACCGCTTGGGTTGCGATCGAAACGTCGTGAATTTTTATTATTATTATTTTATTTTAATCTACGCGACTTTACCGAAAGAACCAAAGCATATGAATTTCTGCAGTCGCAGAGTCAAAGCGACACGTTTCCTTTGCGGCCAGTGCTATTGGCGGTTGTGCCGTGTCGTGTTGTTGTCTTCCCGAAGCAGCGTCTGGCCAATTACGCCGAGAACCGCGACGCATTCCGAAAGCCTCAAAGGGGTTTCCGCGATCCACCGCAGCAATTAGCCGGATTTAACCCGCTAATATCCTGTGACCATGAAGTGCTAGCGCCATCTATTGCTGGACGTTATCACTTTACTCTTTGGTTCTCTCGATAAAGTCACGTAGGTAGAAATAAAATGAAACAGATCACGACTGTTTCGATCGCAACACAAGCGATCTTCATCGGGTGGGACAGCCACAGCAAGAAAATTCTGATGTCGGCGGGAGAGCTGCCGTGGCAAGAGGTTTTTAGAGAGAGATATACATAACTTTAACTCATTTATTCTAAGACGAAGATTGGTCAGAGCCGACTTTGTTGAGGCTCAGCGAAGCTGTCCTCCCCCCCCCGCCGCGGGGTGCATCATGCGAGCGGTACCCGTGACGCGGCCGCTGTGCTCTGCGAGCTCGTCCACCTTGAGCCAGCCCGAGCCGCTGCTGCGCTGGTAGATGTGCACACTCTCGTTGTTGGGACTCAACGCCACCTCTGTGTGAGTGGTGGCGGGGTGGGGGGCAGTTGGGTGGGGGGGGGGGGTTAATCGGGGACGACAGCAATGATGACAACAGCAGCAGTGCAATGATGATGGATGTGGAACCCTTTCGCCAGTATCAAGATGCACGATGATGATGTGAGAAGAAACGATGATTATGATGATGATGATGGAGGTGGTAGTGGTGGTTGTCCTTCCTTCGGTGCTCGCCAAAAGCACTTGCCCCAACAGTCTGGTCATACTATACGGGGGATATTTGACTTGCGAGAGTAGTTCGTGTCGACGTTGGCGCACTGCGTTTCGAACGCGGTGACGGGAGTTTGAGTGCCGTTCACGGTCAATAACAGCGACGGACATTTGAACAGGTCCTACGCCTCCCGTAAGGCTGCTCGCAAGCAAACAATCATCACCTTACGTCTCGACACTCTGCATGGCTCGATGTTACACGCCTGCTCACGTGCTCGCACGCGTGTGTGTGTACGTTTGTGGGGCAGTGGCGCAGTGGTTAGTGCACTGCGCTGCACATCCGGCGAACCGAGTTCTACCACTCCGCTCACAGTTAAAGTGGCGAAAATTTGAACCGCTCCTCGGCCTCTCATAGATCGACTCAACCTGAACACGCATATCTGGTGCGATGGGTGAAACATACGAGAGAGACACAGGCGTTCGGGCGTGGTTCTGACCATCCCCACTTCCTCGTGTGCCGTGTTGGCCTTCATAGATGCTCGCTGACAGCACTTGCCACAACATTGCGATGTTATTTTAACACGTAGGCTTTCGCGACCAATTTTATTCATAATAAAGGTTTTTTGGGTTAGATCGCGTTATTTATATATGTGTCGTAATCCTCCACCACCCGACACGGCCAATCAGCAAAAAAGTGTCACGTTGACAAAAGACAAATAGTTCACTACTTTAGCCCACCCAACCCTGACGCCTGCTGTATATTTAGGATGTGTGTATCTGTGGTCCTGGTCCTCAGGGTTTTCCATCCACATTTAGAAACCTGCGTTTATATTATTTTACTGCTTTAAATTTGCACGTGATAAGCCACTTCGCTGGGCTATCATTCGTGGCCAGGTCGCTTCTGAAAAAGAAGCTAATAGCTCAGTGGACTGTACCTGGTAAGATAAAACAATATTGTTTAGTTTGATTTGTATATATTTTTAAAAGTTATTTGTTTACCTTTCCTATACTTTCCACTCAAATCGTGTGTTTGTATTGTTTGTTGTTGTATCGTTCTGATCCGCCCCCTACTAGACGTCTGTGAAAAAGAGCCTCATAGCTCATCGGATTCTTCCAGTATGAATAAATATTATGATTCTACACGGGGGACCTTTGTCTTTGTGTGTGTGTGTACGTACGTGAGCGGTCTCCGTTCCATGCATAGCACGTGATGGGCTCCAGTTGCAGGCTGCAGAGCGACATTCCTCCTCAGGAAACTGCTCGCCCCCGAAGGCAAAATAAAACAACAAGCGACGCGACCCAACGAGCACAACTCGCACACGAAATATGTTCACCCCCCCCCATCCGCAACGTTTCCACTCTCGGCGCGCGTGTTGAACGGATATCGTGAGGCCCGCTCGCAAGTGCGTCCAACGCAAACACCAGGGGAGGAGGCTAGAAAGAGAAAACAAACAGACTTGGTGGATATCACGCGCGCTCACGCAGATGTTCGGAGCGCAGTTTGTTCCTCCTTGCGACAGCGTTCTTTTTCCCAGACTTTCTTGGCCGTGTGGCGGTGGGAGCGATGACTCTCCTTGTGGCTCTCCTGGGTGTGTGTGGAGGAGGGTGTGTGGGGAGGAGAGTGTGTGGGGAGGAGAGTGTGGGATAGGCGAGAGGAGAGAGTCTGTCTGTCTGTGCGTCAACTCCACCCCAACACAAAACGTGCACAGACCTGTACGATGGAATCTGTGGATTGCGTCCCTGTACATTGTCTCGATTGCAGCCTCTACGTACCCCCAGGGATGTCCACTTGGGTCAGCTCCGATTAAATCTCCACCAATCTGCCCCACCTCGTTGGAGCTGGGCAAGTAAAGAAAATCGAGCCTGGTTATCACTTTTATTTGATGCTGCTGTTGCGTTGACAGTGGTGTACAAGCAGAACTAACAAAAATCAAAACTCAACACATACATGAATAACACTGTGGCCTTAAAAGAAACAAATATAATAGGCGACGTTTCTGGCAATGACCCTCCTTCATAGGACATGCGCATTATATATGACATTTTATATTAAAGCAGTGTTCTTAACGAATGTTTTGAGTTTGTTCTCGATATCATTTGGGTGGGTGACCACGAGGGCTTGCAAGGTGTTGCAGCTCACAGTATGGGAGCTGTTCTTTGGAATAATACCGATGCATTATGATATGCCTGTGCATTATTCCAAAGGCCAGCCTGTGTTCTATGGGAGGCGGAGCTTTTTTTGCAGCCTGGCTCCGCGTTTACGGAATTTCTCGTTCTCGGTCCATTGTGGAGTCTGAGTCTGTAACACTTTTTTAATTCTCGTCTTACAACTCACCTGCTTTTACAACATGCGTTCTCCATAACTTAGGATTTTGGTAAAAACCCTGAGATATTCTTGGGCGAATTTCGTGATATAAAACCGGATTCATTATTATTACTATTATTATCTAACTCGGCGACCTGAAATTGAACGCCCAGCCACAGCTAACAGCAGCAGCGAGCCGTGTCACAAACCCGCCCTAATCGCCACGATGCACTCTGGTCAAACAACCGCAATGACTTACAGAGCTGGGGAAAGATCTTCACCCGGCAATGGATCTAAACAAAACACTCATGATCAATAACATACTAAACCATTTTTATTTCACAAGGTAAGGCCCACTGAGCTATATAGCTCTTTTTTCCAGAAGCGACCTGGCCACAAATGATAGCACAATGAAGTTCCTTATCACGTGGACATTTATAGGAGCTAAATACTCTTAAGACATGTTTATAAATGTGGAGGGTAAACTCAGAGGACCCGGAGAAAAATTCCACGCGACCACGGGGAGACATACACGCAAACTCCAAATATACAGCAGGTGTCGGGGTCAGAATCGAACCCACGACCTCCTGTATACCAGGCGAGGTAGTTAACATCTCCTAGCCACCGTGATGGTGATGATGAGAGAGAGACACCTCAAACTCCAAATATATAGCAGCAGCAGGCGTCAGGGTCGGGATCGAACCCACGACCTCCTGTATACCAGGCGAGGTAGTTTACATCTCCTAGCCACCGTGATGGTGATGATGAGAGAGAGACACCTCAAACCCCAAATATATAGCAGCAGCAGGCGTCAGGGTCGGGATCGAACCCACGACCTCCTGTATACCACGCGAGGTAGTTAACATCTCCAAGCCACCGTGGCGCCACATCTTGACACTCCTGACGCAACCATCTAGCTCAACCCCCTTAATGTAAACCGATAGTTGTTGCTATACAAGCAACATCAGACACACGAAGAAGATTATAGTATTATAATTATTTAGATTAATCACTTTCCCCGATGTCGCTTCCCTGCCGAATTAGACGCTACGTGGAATAAGAAACCAATCTGTAATTGACGCACCAGGCGGCAATTGCAATCGCACATGAGCCTGATGAACTATTGTGCTTAATTTCTCACCGCATGGAATTTCCTGCACAGCTGCAGGTTTCAAATGGGCGTGTGCGCGCGTAATTGCCTTGCAAATCCCGCACGGGTTGAGGGGCGCTCCATTGAGCAAATTGATGGATTGTCTTTCATTGCGTGTATGCAGCTGCAGCTCACAATTAACATCTAGGCCGGATTAGGTTTAATGGGGGGCCCGAGGCTATTATAGAGTTTTGGGTGAGGGGGGGAGGCTTCTTTGGACCCCTTCCATTGACTGGATTACGAACATCCACGCCCGATGCCAAACACTTCATTGCTATTTGCCTTCGAGATTGCAGTTCTGTTGTTTTTAACGTGATATCCGACTTGGAAATCCGATTCAAAGATGAAATAAACAAAACGAATGTTGTCGGCACCCAACTGATAGTGTTGCACATAGTGGAGGCATGGATTTAATTACCAAATTACCTATAGGATGTGTCATAGTGCTACTGTTGCATATTTTAAACTGATATGAAACAGTAACTTTTTTGGGGGTGGGCGGAGGGGGGGATTGCAGCCCCTCAAAATCTGAAGCCCATAAAGCCTAAAGCCCTGGCGTGGCACGATGAGTGGCACGATGCGTGGCACGATGCGTGGCACTTTCATCCCGCTGAGATTTTTGCACACAGCGTTGGTGTACGGTGCTTTTTCAGGAATTTTTTGCTGTTTTTTTCCTGGATTTTCTGTTTGCACAGTCACAAAGTCACTTTAAGATGTTTTCTTGTTCATGTTTTTGTTTTTGGTTTGTTGCGGTTGCACCCAATTCAAGAGCCGAATGGCTCACAGGGCTATACCTAATAAAAGAAACTGGAAATGCGTGGCATCATGCGTGGCATCCTCACTATCCCCGTCTTCGCCTAGTCCAACCACGTGACGTGGCATGCTCTATGGAAATTCTCCCAAACGTCCATTCGCTTCGCGATTCGCAGACGGCAGTGAGGCGGTGGTCACCAAGCTTGTTGTCTCAGTAAAATATGTTGTGCCCTCTCGTCAAAACAAACTTGCCTTCGGATGGAGTTGGAGGGGAGAAGTTGTTTTTGTGGCTTGTGTTTGGCGCATGGCTCACCCTTGTGCTGCTTTGAGTTATCGGGCGATACGCGGTGGAGTGACGCACAATCAAACACACGTCACTGAACGACTAGAGGAGGTCCGATGAGATTGCATGCCAAGAACAGCATTCGCTGGGACATGCGTGTCATTTTTTGAACATTTGATACCCAGTCAAATATGAATTCCTGCAGTCACGGAAGCTTTAAGTAAATATTTTGTTTGCTCTCAAGCCCCATGGGAAGCGATGGGAATTAAGCTTGTACAAGACAAGGATGCAACGACCTCGCAACCTCCTCTCAGTTCCCTTATCCCAGACCCCCACTGCACACAAAAATACATATGTGTAATTCTACCCAACGCAAATACACTTGAAATGAGAAGAACAACACGACGCCATGTTGCTTTAGCAACTGTAAGCACGCGTATTTTTTTGTAAGTTTAAAATGACTGTTCTGTGGGAAATGTATTATGATCTTCCTGTCGAATTGACTCACTGCTTCTTGCCACGTGAATGTGGAATTTACACCACTGGAACAAAGCCGCGATCGGAGGTGGGACATCGTTTTAACGCTCGTTCGCGCAGGAAGAGAGTTTGACTTTGACATGCAAGTTACAGCCCTCCAATTGCTGCCTCGTGCCACTGCTGGCGAAAAGGGCCTCCTCTACAAGGAGTTCTAGAGCCCCTCAAGAGGCGGGGTATTTATTTGGCCTACTCTTCCACACTAGCCACGCGTCTTGAAAGAGGTGGTTGTAACACAACTTGACCGCACCACACGTGACCGACCGATCGGCTAACTGACATGTACCCATTTATTCTGCGATGGGTGGACATAGGCAGAGGAATTTAATCAAAAACAAAACCTGCCCACTGATTCAGCTGCCGCGCAGTGTGATGTCCTTAGTGCTGATCATGACACCACGGCGACTCTTTGTGTGTATTTTAAACTTAGTTCGCACCGTGCGTAGCCAACGCCACCTGCGATTCGCGCGGTTTGCTACGTACGGAGAGAAAAAAAGTTCAACGTAATCGGAGGTGCGGTGGAAGGACAACAAACTAAACACAAAAAACTGTTGTAAAAGACATGAGTTTTCAACAGCCTTTTGTGTGGCTGATCACAACAAAACATTAATTTTGAAGCAACTTGTCTTGCCGTTGCTAAAACTGCATTTTGTAATCAATGTCAACGCGAATAAATGACTCGGGAAAGTCGTTTCAGGAGGGTTCCTGCTTCATGCAGATGTTTGGCCTGTAACTGTCAAATAAATGAGAGGTTGGCTTAGTTTGGGACAAAAAACCCAGAACCAGAGGGAAAATAAAAACCACAGATCCAGCACAGCGCGAGCAGGAGGGGGTTACCACTCAGCACCACCATCTCCTCGCCACACCTCTCACCAGGCACTCCTTGCAACATCTGGCAAGCCTCGGCGTTGGTCACCCACCCGAGTACCATTCAAATACAATCTTGATTTACGGGTTGTGCAAATGCGAAAGCTTCTTGAGACGCTGCAGACAAAAACAAATTTCGGCGCGACCCTGCCAAGCCGTGTTCTAGATTCGAAGAACAGCTGGCAGATGCCTCCGCATCTAAAACGTGCCGTGCCGTGTACCCATCCAGGTAGCCTGCAGGAATGTAACACTGACAAGTAACATCCTGAAGAGAGAGAGAGAGAGAAAGAACATCCTACAGAACGTATACTGTTATCACGAATAATTGTATCAACAAACCGGTGAAATCGCTCCGTGATCGGGCACATTCACGGCCATTTGGTTGCAGTCGCGGCTTCTGATCGACCATCGCCTCCAGTGCGCTGATGTGGCTGCTTGCTGTCATCCTCGGAACTCTTCAACCGGAGTGTGTATTCAGAACACGTGAAGAACCCTAAGCAAGGAGGTCTATTTTTGATTCAAAGGGTGGCCTTGCTTTGCCGTAAAAGCCTAAAGTTTCGGTTGCCATGGATGTTTTGCGGTGAAGCGGGTTTTTTTCTCTCTCTCTTTTTTCGTTTAATCGCAAATGTAACCATTTAGAAACTCGCATTTATATTATTTAGATGCTTCGGCTGCTATATATTTCCACATGGCAAGTCACGTTTCTTTCTTTTGTCGATTTTTTTTTGTTGCCGCTGGAATAATTTTAGTTTAAGATGTGTTTTTGTTTGAGTGCAGAGGAAATTAGCGCTGACACGAGTTAATTTTTCCAG